ACACACCTCATATTGGCCTGTAGTGATGGTTTCCCAGTCTGAGGAGTAAAAAAGTGGCCAAAGTGAGATGTTTCATCATAGATCTTACCCAGTTCCAAGGGGATTCCGAATCAATGTTCTGGGTTACACCTAATGCCAAAGAACTAGTCAAGTACTTCTGATATGTTTATGGAACATTATGTCCTCACCACAGGTGCAAGGTAGTCTGGGAGGGAGGAAGATTTTGAATAAACACAAACAGATGTAGTAATTAGCAAGCATAGTAAGAGTAATTATGAAAGCTATGTGCAGAATGAATGGTTGTATAGTTAAGTCTGGTGTAGCTGTATGAGATAGTTGCTCCTAACCGGAAATTCTGTACTGATTGAAGCATTTTAGGTGGTAAGAGCACAGGAAATGTTGCTAATGATCAGGACCAAACAGGAAAAAGCAAACATTGACTTTCAGTTGGTGATCAATTCCTGAAATGGAGATGCCATTGCAGTGAAACCTTGATGGAGAGGCTCATATGAGAGGTGCCAGGAACCCCTGAAAAATAGTCCTGCAGCTCACCAAAATATTCCATATTCTTCTAGTTATCAAGTTGCTTGCTGATGTGCTTCAGAACATTGCCCTGAAATACATTTGTGGAGTAAAACCTATTTCCAAATAATTTTGCAAAGTGCATTTTAAATCATATTTTTCTCACATACACTTTCTCTCTCTCCCCATCAGTGATACACACATTCTATAAACGTGGTTAAAGCTAACACTTCAGGTAGAATGACAGTTCAGTCTGGCTTAGTTGGGTAGTGATCAAGAGCCATTCAATGGATGTTAGGTGGTCTTTGTGAAATTAGTTGGTATCAGTCCAGCTCTTGGTGGACAGGTGTCCTTTTCATAAAACCCCCCTTTCCAATGGCTGTCCTTGGTGGCAGACCGATCAGCAAACCCAAGGAATGAATAGGTATGGAGACTGAACTACTCTTCAGCCACTATACATGGTTCCACTGGGCTGCTTCCGAAACATCAGGTCAGTGTAGGCAAAGTTTGCAAGTATGATGATCCAAAATAGGGGCTCTTATCTGCTCTTCTGGAGTAGGGAGAGAATAAAATTGACAGCCCAGTTAACCAATGGGTTAGTTGCTGGAAATAGGGAGTAGCAGGTGAGTATGTTATTTAGAGGCCCAAAATCAGGACAGTCAGTACTAAGACGGGGTTAATATTAAGTTTTGTTTAGTAAGGGTGCACCTTTTAATAATTTATACATATCTTTTCTACATTGCAGCTGTCCTTGCTGTACTAGGCCCATAGATAGACGATTGCAGTCTCCAGGATAATCAATATTTTAGCACTTTTCATTAGTATTACAAAAATGTGTTTCATTATTAATGTGCAAATGGCTGTGTAATCTGTATATTTTGGCTGCTTCATTTCTAAGCAGCAGATCTTAAAAGCTGCATAAAATAAATTCTAATACCCAAAAGAGAGGTGAGGACTAGACACTCCAAAACAGTCATAGGAGACAGAAATACTGCCATATACTCTATGTGTGATATGTCTAATCTGACTGAGGATAAGGGCTGAATAGACGATACAAGATTGAATGGAAAGATATGTGATGAAAGATAAGCCTAATGGGGTTTGGAAGTAGGTACTGATTGGAACAGTCATTATTATCTGTAGCCCAAAAGTCCTCCTTTAGAACCCATGTTACTATAGCAGCTTTGTTTTTAAGACTCTTCATGTTCGGTTCAGTTTTTTGTCAGTGAAGGAATTCAGCTGATACACAAACATAATGAATACTATAACTATGCTAAAAATTATAACCGGTGCCTTCCATCCTTTAAATCATAGCAGTAACGTATGAGCGGATGCTATAGCAGGTTGGTTTGTGACATATTCTCGGGCTTGGCAACACCACAGTGGAAATCTGCTACATCGCTCAATATTTTCTTTTCTTTCTTTTCCTTTCCTTTAAAGCTAACATCCTTTTCCTGTGCCCCAGGGAGAAGGCAGCTGATAAAGACTAAATTCCTGTTCACCGACAAGTTTAGAAGGCAGCCAAAATCAGAAGTTCCTTGAATAAACTATGACCCTTCCCCCACTTCTTTTCTCCCCTCTCTCAGTCTTTTGAGCTCCCCACAGGAACCCAGCCTCACATTGTTTGACGGCCTCTGACATTTTCACATCACTGGGAGGGTTGAAAGCTTTTTCCGCTCTTTGTTACAAGGCTTTTTTTTTCCCTCTTCCAAGTTTTAACTTAAAAAATATTATGAGGGCATTCCAGAAGTAATTCAGTCTGAGCTTCAGGGAAGAGACTGAGAGGCAGGTGTGGCTGGTTAGGAAAAGCCATAATGATAGTGAAGCTTTTGCTCCTCTGTGTCTCAGTAGGACTGGTGGAGCTGGTCACACATTCAAGAAATCATGGATACGAAGATGGCTCTTTCCACAACTCAAAGACATCAATTTATGGGATATCTACATATCCTCAATGGTCCCCCGGATCACAGGAGGATTGGGAGATGGAGAAGCTCAGGGAGGAGACCCCAGAGCATCTTTCAAGCACCATAACTTCACATCAAGGAGAGAGAGATGATTCAGAAGCTGGAACCCCACAGTCCAGAAATGGGTAAGTAAGATATTTACTCCTGCATATAATGGCACTGGGCTCCTGCTTGGAAGAAAGAGTCTCCTATAAAGAATGGATCAGATTCTCAGGTTTATATCATGTCTGAATGGGGGAGGGGGGTGTTAGATGTTACAGCTGCCAAATGAAAAGCAAAATAAATAGTCTGTAGAGGATGAAACCATGGAAGACTTAGGCTCTGTTCCTCATCCCAAAATAGGAAGGCTGAGTGTGCTTACCATGTGCATACACAGCACTTAGCACAATGCTGTCCTGATATTGGTTTGGGCCTCAAGCTGCTACTGTAATACAGACAAGTAATAGTTGTGAGGTAAAGCTGGTTGAATTAAACTCATTAATTTATCCATTTTTTCTCTTCCCAATCCAATCCTGATTTATGCATGTGCATTTATTTGTTGTATGGAAGTACTGACTGAACAGTGTGTACAGACAGATTTCAGCCTAGGGTGTTGATGAAAAATGTTCATTTTGACTATGCACTATTCATTGTTTGTGGTGTGTGATTGGTCACCTAAATCACATGGTATTATTTCTGCTCCCTCATTGGGTAACACATTTTAAGAAGAGGACAGGAAATAGTAATGAATGAATAGAGAATAATGAACAATGTCTAATTCTAGTCACGCAGAAAATGTCCTTGTTCACATGTGGATACAGGTATTGGTACAAACAGCCATTCTCCAGGCATTGGTGTGAACAAAAATATGTCCATGTAAATGTTTGCAGGCCCCCATTTAGTACGGTACATAAGCACATGCCTCAACTTTAAAAATGTACGTAAATACCTTGCTGAATCAGGGCCATACTGAATAATAAGGGGTGTGAATGTGATGAAACCAAGCAGTGTTTCAGAATCTGAATGAGTGGTTCTGCAGCATATGATCAGGTGTCCTCTAAAGCAGAGGTGGGCAAACTATGGCCCGCGGGCCACATCCGTCCTGCGGGACCATCCTGCCCGGCCCCTGAGCTCCTGGCCTGGGAGGCTAGCCCCCAGCCCCTCCCCCGCTGTTCCCCCTCCCCGCAGCCTCAGCGCGCCGTGCTGCCGGCGCAATGCTCTGGGCGGCTGGGCAGCGCAGCTGCAGAGCCCAGCCTGACCCGGTGCTCTGTGCTGTGGCGTGGCTGGCTCCAGCCGGGAGGCGCGGCTCTAGTGCCGCCAGCCACCGGTGCTCCAGGCAGCGTGGTAAGGGGGCAGGGAGCAGGGGGGGTTGGATAGAGGGCAGGGGAGTTTGGGATGTGGATAGGGGTCAGGGCGGTCAGAGGGCAGGGAACAGGGGGGTTGAATGTGGGCAGGGGTCCTGGGGCAACAGGGGGCAGGCAGGGATTCTGGGAGTGGTCAGGGGACAGGGAGCAGGGGGGGGTTGGATAGAGGGCAGGGGAGTTCGGGGTGGTGGTCAGGGGGTGGGGGTGTGGATAGGGGTTGGGGCGGTCAGAGGGCAGGAAACAGGGGGGTTGAATGGGTGCAGGGGTCCCGGGGGTTAGTGAGGAAGCAGGGGGGTTGGATGGGGAAGGGGTCCTGGGGGGGGCCCCCCCGTCAGGGGACAAGAAGCGCAGGGGGGAAATAGGGGACAGGGGCTGGGCATGCCTGGCTGTTTGAGGAGGCACAGCCTCCCCTAACCAGACTTCCATACAATTTCCAAAACCCGATGCAGCCCTCAGGCCAAAAAGTTTGCTCGCCCCTGCTCTAAAGGGATCCCGTCCTAAGTTATCAATGAGTGGCTATAATTTATGGCCTTGAAAATGCACAGAATGGAGCAGAATGATTGGGATGTCACCAGAAAGAGAGAATTAGGACATTGGATAATAAATAAATAAGTATCAAGAGGAGATGAACCAAAACCAACAATGATCCACAGCTAAATATGGTTTGTGACAATAAACAGGAGAAAGAAAGCCCATCAGTGTGTGAGAAGTGTGTGTTTTGGCAGAGCTCTGTTCAAGCAGAATATTTTTCAAATTTTTCCAGGAGATGTAAGTAGGTCTCTGCTATAAAAGATTCATTCAATCTCCTACCTAGACTTCTGTTTTTGAATCACTGACTGGGACTGCAGAGTCCAGTCTGGGTCAGCAGCACAGTGAGTGCTATTCACAGCTCCATGCTTTAGGATGTACTGACACTTTTTTTTATTAATTTCTTTGAATGCCTTCGTGGAAAGGAAAAAGCAAAAATCAATCTACACAGCAAGCAAACAAAAATAAAACCTTGTTAATGCCATGCTTCCCTCTGACACAAACGAACAAAATCAGAAATTGACTTATTTCAAAGCCTTACCTAGATGCATAGTTAAGTCCTCTCCACTGTCTGTCACAGGCATTATTTTTCAGTCTTTCTTTTGAGCCGGTTGGTGTCAGTCCTTTATTATCCAGAAGAGGTACTGTTGAATAATAAGACACACTGTCAGTCCAACCTATCCTAAATACTTAGCATAATGCCTTTAAAATACTCACAGACCCATTCTAGCATAGGGAAGCAAGCCAAAAAGGACACTTTTTTCCCCCATGTGATAATGCAAGGCACTACTCACTGGACCATAAGGCTGGACAGTGGTGAAATCATATTTCAAAAACACTTCAGGCTTCTTGATGAGTTCTTTACAGCCAGAAAGATCTGCCACTATAAAATTATTGGCATAATGGGATCCTTCCATTTCTGCCTGTGTAACCACGTGTGTAGCACCATACATTCCTCATTTCCAGGGTCATTTTGGGAAGTACAACACTTCCTTCTCAGGGGACCTTTAAGAATGAGGGTTTATGGTGAGTTGAGTCATAGTGCCAGTCCTGATCTCCAACATAATACAGGTTACAGCAGTGATGTTTATAGGCCAATGGCATCTCTAATACATGGACTCCAGGGAAAGAGACACCTCAGATATATGCAGAGATTTATGCTTTGCTTGGAGAAGACCATTTCCAAAGCTGGCAGTGGAGGGAGACAGTTTATGCTGTTCTCCATTCATGAGGTTCACAATCCAAGTTGTAGATTCTGTTCCAGATTATCAAAGTAAGGACTCTGCACCGGAATACATGTACCATACACATGCAGATACCCAAAATGCACATAGAAATCTTGTATTCACATGCGCAGGTATCCAGTTAAGCACGCACACAAATTGTAGGCAACAAGTTAAGCATTTGTAAATGTCTGTGACCTGTTGACCATATTTGACTTTGAAAAGTTGGGCTTCTACATTCACCAGAGTATGAATAGAATGAAGCATTCGGGGTGAGTAAGTGGTAAGATGGAGATAAAACACCGCACAATTAGCTACAGTGAGTGAGGTAAAACATGGCTCACTACCAAGTTCTTGTCCATCGGACTTAGGTTTACCCTTGAAATGAGAGCACACCGTCATTTCAGAATCCTGCTAAAGAAACAGATGATAACTCTGTAGTATCTCTACCTATTATAGCCTCGCAACCCTACAAAAATGATGATCATTTCCCAGACCCTGCTATTTTCCATGCATGTTTAACAGGCAACAAGCTTTGCAAAATAAGCCAGAAGTCCCCTTAAAACAAACAGAGCAGTATTTTGTTCACAGCATCTGTTTGAATTTAACTAGATACCACAGTGACTGATACATTAAAAAAGCCTAAAATAACCAGACAGAGAGAACAGATGCCTGGTGATGGCTCCACACCTAAGATGAGGTGTTTCATTGCAGCTCATCAGATGCATGGATGTGTCACCTCAGCAATAAGACACCCTCAAAACAACAAGACTGTTCTAACAGAAAGAGTTCAAGAAGAATAGAACTCATAAAAGTTAGTGCTCAGCCTTTGGATCAGGTGCTTGTGACCAGACTCTTTTGTGGATAACCGATGGGTAAACAAAGCTGCAGAGGAGAGTAAGAAGTGGGTAGTAACAGGTTATCATTTCAATGGGTGCACATATAATTTATCAAAGCACTTTTATCCTCTTGGCCTATAAGTCATTTTCTATGTGCAAGTAACCTGTGATGTAGGATTAGTGGCTGTATGAACATAGAAAACTGATGGAAGAATTCTGTAGGTTAGATATTCTCAAACTTTTGTATGGGTGACCCCTTCCACACAGCATGCTTCTGAGTGAGACATTCCCCCCTTATAAATTAAACACACATTTTTTTAATATTTAACCCTGTTATAAATGCTGGAGGTGAAGCAGGATTTGGGGTGGAGGCTGACAGCTCGCGACCCCCAAGTAATAACCTTGTGACCCCTGAAAGGTGTCAACCCCCAATTTGAGAACTCCCTGCTGTAGGTGTTGCCTGTAGCCAGGAATGCTCGCTCTATGAGATGGTCAACAATTTTATGAAAAATGTCAATATCTAAAGTTATTTTCATTTTGAACCAATTTTAATATCTTTTAAATGTTTTGCTTTTTTTTATTTTAAAAATTATATATTTATATTTTGTTTTTTATTGTCTTCTTTACTTCTCTCCTCCCAGTCATTTTGAAAAAGAAAATCAGTTTTCCAAAATTACTGGGAAGGGGAAGAGTAAAACAAGGACAATATGATGAAAAAAAAAGAGGTCAGAAAAAAAGAAAAGGAAAACATGAAAAATATTGTATAAAATAAAAATATCAAAAAAATTCAAAGTGCGCAGTGTTTCCACAAAAATTTGAACAAGAAAATAATTTATATTGAAATATTTTGAGCAGCTCTGCTCTCTGTGAGCTGGCCAATCACAGAGAGCCCTTCTTGGTCGTGAGACCCAAATATCTCCCAGATAGCGGACCTCAGTGGATCATACTTGCCCATTTCCCCAGCAGGATAAATGGAGAGGACAGGGACATAAGAGAGTTAAATTGAGCAGTCCCTTGAGTCTCTCCTCACCAGCCTTCATCAAGTTAGATGTGAGCTTGAGAGGAGGATAGAAAAAATACATTCTAGATTGCACATATATCTAACCAAATAAACCCCCATCATTGGTTATTTTTCCATAATAGATCATAGGAATGTTTGTCCTACTCACTCTAACTGTACAGCAGATGGCCTAATGGTGAGGAAGAATCTGCTATTTTAATCAGCCTTCTTGCTTCTGGAGATGGTCTCTCAGAGGGCAGCCTGAGGATGTGACCGGATACAAGGAAGCTCCAAAAGTAGCCCAGCATTGGAGCCAAAGTCAAAGAGGGGCTTTTAAGGTTGCGGGATGTCAGCACCCAGGTGTTAGCTACTCTTGTTTATAGCCAACTGGTTGTCTCAAATTAGTGCCTAATGAAAAGGCAGCACATCTAGCAAATAGGATAGCAGCGGTGCCACACTATTAACCACTACTGGGCTGACACATTCTATGGACTCTTAAAGCTCAGCTTAAACAAACAAGCCACCTTAGAAGAGTCTTTGCCTAATTTGGAGCAGTTTCCAATAAAGAGCTAGATTGCAGCATATAGCCACAGCCCTATACAGGGCCTGGTGCTGAGTCGCATCATTCCATGGAGAGCTCATGAAAGGATTGTGCTGTGTGGTGAGCAGCGGAGTGCAGGAGCCATATGGGTGTTTTCACTGTCCTTTAGGCTGGACCCTCCAAACAGGCAGGGAAACCATTATTTGTGTGCTCTTCACCCCACATCTGTACAAGGCCAGGGACACTGTGATGCAGCAATGAAAAGAAAAGCAGATTTCTTTGCCCCAGTAGGATTTCTAGATCCTTGCCAAAGACGTCTCTTACTTTCAAAGATCCAGCTGAAGAGCAAATGCTGTGCCTTTATAATGCACTCTATTCTGTATTATCGACATAGCGTATAGCTTCAGCACATTTTCATTGGGTAGAGCTACCACACAATGCTTACTAAGAGATTATTCCTCAAATCAATCATGGTTTAAAATCCCTAGCCTATACATCCATTCCCCTGAATGTTCAAATGATTGAGCAGGATTATAGCTCAAGTCCCATTGGGGCTAAAACTCAGAGAAGTAAACCTGCCCACTCCGATTCCATTTAGTCGCAGTGAGTGATCTGGTCTCATTTTGATTCAAAAACAAACCAAGCATTTAAGTTAATGTTCTATGGGCCAGTTTTAGACGTTATAATTGGTGCGATTAGAGGCAAGATCTGGCTGCTGTGCTGGAATTATCGAATCTTCAGCCAGGCACAGGAGAATGGTTTGGCCATACAGCTCACACACAGAGAATCTTAATCTGCTGCAGTTTTCTACATTGTGAAAATGGGTTCACTAAAATAAAAACAGCAATTTTTAAAATATAGCAAAAGCAAAAACTTGGAAAAAACCCTCTTCCCCCCAATTATTTGATAATTGCAGTAACACACATCAGGGCCTAGGCACATAGTTTTTAGATATCACTTTTTCTTGATTATATGAAGGCTTCCCAGAATCACCCAGGTGTGTCATTATCTCACAATAGCACACACCTACACTTCCTTTAACACTGCTCCTAAGGCCTTGGCTACACTTGCGAGTTGCAGCGCTGTAAAGCCGCCCCCAGCGCTGTAACTCACTTCCCGTCCACACTGGCAAGGCATTTGCAGCGCTGTATCTCTGTGGTTGCAGCGCTGCATGTACACCACCTCTCCGCGAGGAATAGCGAGTGCAGTGGCACTGCAGCGCCAGTGTGGCCGCCCAATGCGCTGTGAATGGCCTCCAGAATTATTCGGCAGTATCCCACAATGCCTGTTCTAGCCACTCTGGTCATCAGTTCAAACTCTACTGCCCTGGCCTCAGGTAACCAACCATGTGACCGACCCTTTACATTCCCTGGGAATTTTAAAAATCCCCTTCCTGTTTGCTCAGCCCGGCGTGGTGTGGAGTGCTATCAGCGAATCTTTCCAGGTGACCATGCCTCCACGCGCCAAGCGAGCCCCAGCATGGAGCAATGGCGAGTTGCTGGACCTCCTCAGTGTTTGGGGGGAGGAAGCTGTCCAGTCCCAGCTGCGCTCCAGTCGTAGGAATTACGATACCTTCGGGAAGGTATCAAAGGACATGATGGAAAGGGGCCATGACCGGGACGCGCTGCAGTGCAGGATTAAAGTCAAGGAGCTGCGGAGTGCCTTCCGCAAAGCCCGCGATGCAGACGGCCGCTCGGGTCCCCCCCCCGCGACCTGCAGATTCTACAAGGAGCTGGATGCGATACTTGGGGTTAACCCCACCTCCACTCCGAGCACCACCATGGACACTTCAGAGCCGGTGGGGGGGGGGGAGAGGAAGAGAAGGAGGAGGAGGAGGAGGAGGAAAACGGGAGTGATGGCGGTGGGCCGGATGGAGACACCCCGGAATCCCTGGAGCCATGCAGCCAGGAGCTCTTCTCGAGCCAGGAGGAAGGGATGGTAGCCAGTCGCAGCGGCCGGTACTTGGTGGAGGACAAACAGAAGAGCAGGTTCCCGGTAAGCGTTTTTTTTTCTTCTAGGAAGGAATTTTTTTGATGTGGGC